CAAAATATAATTAATCAGAGGAAATGCTTTAATCAACATCTTCCAAGTCTTCAGCACTGCTGAAAAGATTAAAGAAACATAAAAGAAATTAAAATATGATATTCTAAAGAAACCAGAATTAGTCTACTCCTGACATTCTTCTATTTCAGATGTGGGAAGGAGAATGCAGTTAACATGCATTACCGATTGTTGCCAACTAGTAAAATTTCCTGAGTATTTAAGGTACTAAATAACTCACCTAAGACTATGATTTACAATGCACAAATGAGATTACTCCTTTCATTATTAATTTATTATGAGAAATGGAATGCTTGCTTTCTGTGTTTCTAAACAGGTATCTTTCCAAAAAATGGGAAGTACAAAATTTAAATGAGTGCCAGTTTTCATACTCACAGGTTGTCTATAGGGATTTTTAAATTTGTAGATAAGAAATGAGTATGATGAACCCATGTATATATCCAGCTTCTATCATATACACCAAAAATAAAAATGCTTGGCTTTGAATTCAGTTCTAAACTAATAAACTCTCTTGCTATAATTTCTGTTGTATTCTGCCCAATATTTAATGAGTTGCTCAGTATTAACCTACAATTATTGCTAAAGTTCAGAGAATAATTTAAGCGGAAGTTTTTCAAACATTGTCTCATTAAATAAAAAATATGTCTTTGAAAGTTCAAAATATATAAACATGCAAAACTCAAAGCATTTACCCTTTCCACAAAAAGAAACCTTGTTGTTGATGAAAATTATTTATTGTGTTTTAGCAAAATATTTTAAAATATTTCTTATACTCTGTTCATTTCAAGAACTTTTTAGGTTAAATGTGTGAGCCTTACTGCTTGCTTTGGAGGGGAGGTACTAAGAAATCAGCCCAGCATCCACACTGAACCACACGCCCTAGCCCTGATTATTTGCATTTATTTATTCATTTATTTTTTTTAATTTTGACATAGAGTTTAGCTAAGTCTCTTGGTTGCACAGGCTAGGCTCAAATTTGTGATTCTCCTGCCTCAGCCTCCATTGCAATGCTTTTAACAAAAGTATTATCAGCATCTACTAAATTTCCACCGCAAAATTTCTAATACTTGAAATAGACTGAAAGAGATGAAATCACTACTGTTTATTTCTTCAAACACATTGCAAAAATTGTTATTGAGATGAAAGAGGTCTGACTCTTATTATATGCCACACTATAAATAAATCTTAATAAAATGGCAGTTGGAGGGGGGATTGGTATCAGAAATAAAACTCAGGGCCTAGTGCTCACCAGGCAGGCACGGCACTACTGAACTATATGCCCAGCCCAAATCTTAGCAATATGAAACACTTCGCTTGATCTGGAATTCCATTTTATAATCTAAATATTCAAATGAAAGTAACAATATGGTAATTTCTTTGTGATCCATCATGAAGTATTATGGTTTATCAACTCAACACTAAAAGAAAAAACATACTCACGTACAAAATTATTCTCAATTGAAAATTTCCAAAAAAAAAACATATGATATTTATAGGTTAGTAATCTGGAAATAAGTTTAATGACATATTTAATAATACTTAATGATTTAGATGATTTTGTATAAACCTCTACTTATCAAAAAATATAACAAATATAAATATATTACCAAGTATCATTATATGAATAATTAGAGAGCATCATCCCTGTACAAACATACACAATTCAAGTATGTAAATAAACATTGACTTTCTCAAGTAGCTACTTTTCAGTAATTTTCAGGCATTTTTATGAATAGAATTAATAGTATCAGGATTCAATGTCTTGAAGGCATACTTTTAGGTTTGAAAATAGTTTAAGATCATCTAAAGCTAACTTTGGGTCATAATGTAGGTTATAATCAAACAGAATCTAAAAAATAATGAGACATTTCTTCCACAGGAATAAAAATGAGACAGTGCTTATTGAGAATTCATGATATTCCAAGAAGTATTGAGTATTTGACAAAACATCTTTATGGTTATTTCTCTTTTGTAGATAAGAAAACAAGCTACTCACAGAACTTTTATAATGTGGCTCATTTTGCATGGGAAACAAAATTTCAGACTCACTAATACCTAGATAAAGTTTTCAAAGATAAATTTCAAAAATTATTTTCTCTATTAAAATTCTTTTCACTTCCATAATTTCTGTTAAACAGTTTCTATTATAGTAATCATGGTTCAAGTTAGTATTTAGTGAACTCTGTATAAACTTACTTTTAAAACAATCTGTGAAACAACTCTTCCTCAGACATATTTAAACTATTTTAATATAGAAAAATAATAAAGCCCACAATGAAAATGAATCCTCAAACAATTGCTTATTATAACAAATATTAAATCACTTGATAGAATTTTCATCAATGTATATATTAGTATTAATTAAAAAGTAAGCATATATTCATGTAAATATTAATATGAAAAATAGGAAAACATTTGGATGCACATGAGCTTTAGAATGCTTAGAAAAGACTAATACAATCTTATATAACCTGTTAAATTTACTTATCTTCCATAAAAAATATAGTTCAATGTTTTCATTTATGTAGATGATATACAGATTTAAAATGTAACCTAGAATGATTACCTTAATACAATTCAGTAAGACAAAGACTCATGAGAATATCATGTACCACTAAACACTATCAAGTACATAAATCTAAGATAACGCTGCTCAGGTGGTTTATAGGCTAAGTGAAATTATTACAGACAGTTTGTATCAATTAAGAAAGTTCAAGCAGTTATTTAAATACTTGAGGCTATCCATTAGCCTTTAAAGTTCAAAGAAATCACCAAAGTATAATTACATCCAGCCCTGTGATTGGCACTTAAGTTTATAAAGGGTTAAGAATGCACCACAGATCCCAGTTGAGCAAATAACTCCTTATCAAATCACCACTGATATCTCAAAGAACAGGATCACTAGGAAGAGGTGCTTAGTGCTTAAGAATACAGCTTTTGTAAAGTAAGATTTAAAACACTAACTATTATTTGAAAAACAGTGGCAATGAATCAGTATAATATATCATCATTTGTGAATAACTTAGCTTAATCTAATACCACATACATTCATAATATGCATTTTTTTAAAAATGAAGAAAGCTGAAGTCTTAAATTCATTCTCAGAAACAATGTTGACAAATACATTCTGATTTGGAGGTTTCTTTTCTCTAGATGCATTTTAAGCGTAACTGTGCTCCTAAATATTACCTCAAGGCAGGCCATTAAGACTCTGTAACTATTCAGAATACACATCTGTGTACTCATTTCTTTTGGTACAAGTTGTAATTTGTGTTATCAATAAGCTGTAATTACGATGACTCTAAATCTTTTGAACCTATATGCATTCTTGTTGCTTTTCAGATTTAAAAAAAATTCTCCCCAAGTTTTAAGTCATTTAGTGACCTTACCAATAGGTGAATGTATCTTGAATTTTTATACCAATGTCCATATACAAAATTTTGCTTTAAAATTTCAAAACAGGTTAAGAATAGAGACAGTTATAGAAGATCAAGTATAAAAAAAAAAAAAAGCCAGATGCGATAGTAAACATCTACCCTCTTGGCTACCTGGGAGACTGAGGCAGGAGGTTTGCAAAATCCAGCCCACCTTGAGCAACAGAAAGACTCTAGTCTCAAAATTTAAAATATATAAAGTAATAAAAAGAATCATGGACATAGCTCAATGGTTGACAGCTTGCCTAGAATGTGAGAACCCTTGTGTTCAATACCCAGTATTAAAGAAAAAAGTGATCTCAATACATCTAAATAAAGTATTTATGCACTTAAGAAAATAACCAAAAGTTCTCATCCTTAAAATTGGGAAGTAATCTAGTTAGCATTTCTTTTATCCAAGAATTATATGGTTTGCTAATAAACAAAGAATTATAGTGAGCAGTAAATCAATGCTGAAAATTATAGAACGATGGGTGACTCTTAATTTCCTTCAGCATTTCTTCCTGCCTTAAGTATTATCATTACACATATAAATCAGTTCTCATTGTATACTTCTGCAGAATGCACAGGAATTGACCTTTTTCCTTTACACAGCTTGCAAAAAAAAATCTTCCTTGGGTATCTATGGGCAATGCCTTTGAGGACCCTGTTTGGTTTGTGTCTAGATGTCCCCTAAAGCCTCATGCAGTCATGGGGCAGGCTTCTAGAGTCTGTGACTGGTTCATGGTTCAATGCTGGGATTATGGGTGTGAGTGCTACACCTCCCCTAGACTGGGTAGTTTACAAACTGTGTAAGGGACACAAAGTCTTCTTGCAGGCTCCTCTCTTTTTGCTTTTGTTGCTTTTGCTGTCTTCTGCCACCACGAATTGTTGCTCCGTATCAGACCACCCCTGCCTTGGACCTAAGCAGGTTATGGACTGAAACTGCTACAACTGTGAGCTAAATAAATTTTTCCTTCCTTAATTTTGGGCATTGGATATTTTGTCTCATCAATGAGATAAAAGTAATTAACAGGGACCCCAAATCTAGAAATACTCAAGGTCCTTTCATAAAATGGTATAGTATGTGCATATAACCTATACTTTAAGTCACCAGTAAATTGTTCATCATAACTAATACAATGTACATGTTATATAAATAGTTGTTTTACTATATTATCTAGGAAAAACAGTAAGAATAAGTGTGTAAATGACTGCACTAAATTAAGTTTTTAAGAATATTTTCTACCCATCTTTGGTTGAGTCACATATGCAGAACATACACATGTGAAGAACTGGTTATACATGTGGGAATAATCCGCTTTTTGTTTATTTAATGGCCACTAATATCTTAATCATAAGAGATATGAGGAAAAGATTTTTACACTGACATTTCTTAGATGTTAGATATTCAGGTCAACAAAACTTCAATATACAGTATTCAGGAAAAAAGCTCACATGCACGCGTGCGCACACACACACACACACACACACACACACACAATCCTGTGTAACAAAAAGATCTTAAAACAACCATGTATAAAACCAGATGTGTTCTCAAGAACTCACCACCACTCTTAAGCTGCTCAAATTTCCTTCTTATTCTTGTAGATGTAGAGATTCCTGGATCTTCGTTTCACATTCACTGGCAGAAAAGAGTGTTCAGGATCCTATTACCCCATTGCGTGGATCCTGAATGCATGAAGGCCTCAATATCCTACCCTCCCTGCTGGAATTCGAGGGTATGGAATGTGACTGAGAGGCTGGGCTTCTATTCCCATCTCTGGGCCTACTTCATAATGGAGATGTGTTCTAGAACGTAGGGTTAGAACTAGAATAAGCTATCTCCTAACAAAAATCTAAATAGCTGAAACTTTGTAGATAATCAGAAATATAATTCAGCTACATTAGAGCATGTTATGGATTTGCCAGGGTAAGCTACCTTACATAGCATCAATATTATTATAATAATGCATGCTGAGTTTGAAAATAACTTATAAGAATAACTTTTAAAATATATTCTATGCTATTACTTGAGAAATGTATAAAAATAAAACTGCAAAAGAAGAAATTAAAGTTGCTACTCTATCAAATATGATCACTTTACTCATTTTCACATGGCTACTGTCATGTCTTCTAATGATTAAAGAAAGCAGTCACCTCCTAACTCCTCCCACTGTAAATAGCCTTGTCCCCTCTCCACTGATGCTCATCACAGCAGGCTGAATGATCTTTTAAAAGCACAAATCATATTACAGTTTTTCTCAGTATTATACTATAGTTCTATGTCTCAAAGCAAAAGTCAAATTCTGTAAAATTAGTTGTAAGCCTGCCATGATCCCCTGATTGCCTTTCTGATCACACCACTCCCTTATTCTATGCTTTTCCTTAAATGTGTCTGGTGTGCTTTAATCTGTATGGTTTGGACTTTAAATATTCCCTATGTCTCCCTGAGGCTTGTGTGCCAAAGGCTTGGTCCCCAGCTGATGGTACTATTGGGACTTAGTCAAGCTTTTAGAAGGCAGGGTCTAAGGGAAGTATGTTAGGTCACCTAGGGCATGCTCTTGAAGGGGGCATTGGGATTTTTCTTTTCTCTCTTCTTCCTCCGTCTCCCACTCCTTCTTCTCCCCCTCCCTGTGCTCCTCCTTCTCTCTCACTCTTTCCCTAGGTGCCAGGAGGAGAGCAGCCTTGCTCTGCACACAGCTCTGCCTTGCCACTGGCCCAAAATCATAGAACCAAGAAACTACGAATGATACTTTGAAACCATTACTTTAACTCTCCCTGTTGCCTCCATCTAGACCAGTGATTTCCTGAAGCTCTGGTTACTTAACCTCTTCACTTTCAGTTTACAGTGTGTTTAATACTTATTTGATGAAGTCTACATTAACCATTCCTTGACTGAAACTTTGCTAATTCCTTTTTAAATGCATCACCCTGCTAGAACACAAGCCCCCTGAGGTCATAGACTTCTGTTACCATTATTCATCAAGCATCTAGAAAGTGGCTAGCACACAGCAATTGCCACTGAAAGGAATACTGGGTAAAGGAACAGTGAAGCTCATCATGCCCAGTGGCAGAAAATGGACTCTTAGTCAGCTGAAGCCTGGCCTGGGTCTGCCTTCTGTGGCTTCTGTCTCTCTGATCTTCTATTCATGCATCTCTTCCCTCTGCAGATCTCTGACGGGTCTGTCATCACTCTGTGATCTGCAATAAAATCAGAAACCAAAACTAAAAATTCAATTTAGCATATGAATTCTCCCTTTAAACTAATTTTCATCGTTTTGGAAGGCAGTGGAGAGTTTTAGCTACTTCTTCCATTGTTCTCTGGAGTTTCAAAAGTTACTGTCTTGGGTACCACAGAAAACCATCAGGACTAATACCTGTGCCATGATGAGAAATACCTGTGTGAATAAAACCCACTGAATACCAGAACCAGTGGTCTCTACATTTGGATATTCAACTTTATTTTGTGGATTTAATCGATATTCTCTGTACAGGCTCAGCCCTAAGTAGGTTTCTGTCTTACTTGTTCTCTCCTTGGTTACCCTCTGCTATTGAGAGGCTCTTTGCAGTGTGAGACAGTAATAAAAGGACTAGCACAGGTGTAGTGTAGGAAAGGTCAGTGTAGGCTTCATTTTAAAATTGGTGTTAGTTACATTGTGCATCTCTTTGTAAATAGATGCTTCCCACATAGAGGCAAAGCTTTTTCAATTTAAAGCCAAAGACTTTGTTTTTGTTCATTTGTTTCAGTTCTCAGTGTATATATTCAATGACTAATTTCTGGATGCCTAATTGGAGAAAGGTTTTTAAATCTGAGAAAGAAAAATCAAAGAAGTTTAAATGAGCAGGATTATCATGTATGTGAGGTGATAGTATAAAAGAAGTTTCAGTTAACACTTAAAAATATGCATAGAGTTTGCCTCTAGCCTTTATCACCTGAACAACTTTTTATACCTGCCTTAGCCTTGTGTTTAAAATTAAGTAATTAACAAAAGAAAGTAAAATGCAATTAAATTATTTTTCTCACAAGGTAGAGCTCCACAGTCATGTTGAACTTAGTGTTTTCAGGAAAGTAAGGAATAAGCATATACTGGCTCTGAAGGTATGATGAATTAAGAAAAAAATATCAAAATGATAAAGTGTGTGAATATCCACCTGTCTGTGGCTATGTGTGATTTGTAGATTCAAGAATATGTAAGTGAAGAAAAAAAAAAAAAAAAAACAATTAACCCTTTTGACATAAAGTACCAAGAAACAACCAGTATTCACATCATATAAAGCCAAAATCTAAATGAAGAAATTCTTAGCCTTAATGAAGGTCATATGTAAACATACAGAGAATTCCACTCTAGTTTTAAAAGGAAACTTGGGAAATTAACTTCCACCCATGATTAATTTTGAGGTTTTAAGAGGAAAGTAACTGCCTATATCCCAAGTAATATTATTTAAAATTTAGCTTCTTTTATAATTAATGAAGCAATTGAAAGTGACTACCTTTTTATTGCAAGGGAGTAATTTCTTTTGTAAAAGGTTAAATCCTCAGGATATTTGTGCAGGCTTTTCCTTTGGCCAGGCATGATCTCCCCCGCCTGAGACTCTGTCTTTCCTCAGGGAGGCTTTCTGAATGCCCTGACTGACAGGGTCAATTCCACCTCATTCCTGTTAATTACTGACTCCATTGTCTGTTTGTAAAACTTGGTAATTACACAATTAGGTGTTTACTCTTTATCATCTGTAGGCTATGTCACATTATAAATTCTACAAAATAAGCCTACTTAATTTTTCAAAAGACAGTCCCTCAGTGTCTATGAGAGACTGACTCCAAGACTCCCCATCCAGATCCTAGAACCCACTGGTGCTCACATTCCTTATTTGAAATGGTACGGTATTTACATATAACATACTCACATCCTCGTATACATTCTTTAAATCATCTCTCAATTATTTATAATACCTAATACAAAGTAAGTGGTAGCTAAATAGTTGTTATGCTATATTGTTTAAGGAGTAATAACAAGCTGAATGTTTGTGTAGGCTCAGTACAAATGCATTATATTTCAAACTGAGGTTGTTTAAAACTGTAGAAGCAGAACTCATAGGAAAGAAGGACTGACAGTATATGCACCACGTAACAGAATGTTTAAATCAGACCATGTAATTGATTAAATTTTGTTAAAAAGAAAATGACAAAAGGAACATAATTAGTTCCTCTTAAAAGTAATTGATAGTTTCTAAATGACAAAATAACAGTACATATGAAATGTAACAACCTTCTTTATTTTCATATTTTTTAAACTTCATTACACTTGTATGGTGGTGTATCAGAGAATCTTTAACAATCTGAATAAAAAAAGATGTGTATATAAATATACACAAGTATATATACACAAGCCTTTGTAAACTTACTGACATCAAGTATGCATAATCTAAAATTTATAAGTGATTCTAAAATACGTTTTTATTGAATGTTTCACATATCCAGTTAATGCTCACAGATTTCTGTTTATTTTTCCTGAACTCTTGCATCCATCTATAGCCAATCTATATTTGAAATTGACAAATAAGTGCAATTCCAATGTAGATATCAGTTGATATTTATGTTCACATTATTGAATACACTAAAATGGTAGAAACATGTAAAAACGCTATATTTTTGATAATGATATGAACAGGTATTTTGGTTGGTTGGTTGGTTGGTTGGTTGGTTGGTTATTTGGTTGTTTCACTGGTTCTTGCTCAATCAGATAACATGTAGATTTTAAATGCTGGAAGAATATTTTCTCAATTTTTTGATCTTTACAAAGTAATTTTTGTGTACAAAGCACTTTTTTTTAAGTCTGGGCAATTGAAATTAGAGCCTTTTCCTGAGCTATATCCAAGCCATTATTTTAGCATTTGTTTAGAATTTGGATTTGAGCAGTCTTGCTAAATTGAGTCTGAACACTGGGCTTGAACTTGATCCTCCTGCTTCAGCCACCCAGACTGCTGTATTTCCAGGTAAATGCTGCCTAGCCTGACTCATGAAAACACATTTTTAAGTTTCCTCTATGTTTCTAATGCTCTCCATCACTATATGAGTAAGCCAGGAATAAAACATTTTTTCTGTACGTACTTACACATTAAATACTTTAAGATTCCTGGTCTACATAGTCTCTGGTAGAGTTACTTCTTTCAGACATTTCTAATATAAATGCAGCCATAGACAATATGTAGATATATTAATATGTCTACATTCAAGCAAAACATTTGGTACAAAAACTACCAGTGGCTACATTTCACCCAAATGATACAGTTTACTATCATTTCTCTAAGCAATTAACGAAGTAAGTTGAGCCTGATATTAGCACTTGCTAATTTTATCAATGTGACATGACTATGCTAAACTGGGAAGAAACACACAATAAAACACCATTATCTAAGCATTTCCACATCATTTAATATACCTATGAATAGCCTGAGGAATATGAATAATTGTAGTAAAATAATCAGAAAGTGATGAATTTTAAGTACTTTATAATGTGTCTAACATTTTACGTGGAAGTTTATAATGTAATAATTTAAATTGATTGTAATATTTAAATGTTTAGATTTATAAACACGCACATGGAATTCCTCAAAATTTCTATAACTTACCTGCACACCATAAGTGTGTCATACCTCCTTTCTCAAAATCCTACCCCTCATATCTCTTTCTGCAATCTGGCTGTCTTCTTTGACTTTCCCGTACTTATTCTTAGGTATCTCCTTTTTCTAGGTCTCCTTTTTAATTTATAGAC